AAACAATAAACATTGTTAATACATATACTTACTTGACATGTATTAAATGTAAATTACAGATTATGTAAGCATAAACCTTTCACAAATTGATAATGTTTATCTTTAGTTAAAGGCTTTGTCAATATGTCTGCTATCATTAAATCAGTTGACAAATATTTAACATCAATAATGTTTTTTATTATGTTTTCCCTAATGAAGTGATGTCTCACATCAATATGTTTAGTTCTACTATGATACATACAATTGATAGTTAATTTTTGGGCAGATTGGTTATCATTATATAACAATATTTTACAGTCTATATTTAGCAATTCCTTAAGAAAATTTCGCACAAAAAGAGCTTCCTTACACGCATCTGACAGTGCCATATATTCAGCCTCTGTGCTAGAGAGAGCAACAGTTTTTTGCTTTCGACTTTCCCAAGAGATCAAAGAGTTACCTAACTTAAAAATAAAGCCTGTAAAAGATTTACGATCGAGTTCGTTTGCACCCCAATCGGCATCAACATAAGCAGTTACATCCAAACCCCCCTTTTGAAAAACTAAACCATAGTTTATCGTAACTTTTATATAACGAAGGACACGCTTCAACGCTTTCCAATGTTTTTCAGAGTGGGACTCGTTGAACTGACTGAGCATGCTCACAGCGTGAGCAATGTCTGGTCTGCTGCATACTGCAATATACATGAGACAGCCTAATAAATTCCTGTAATGAGAATTTTCGTTATTATTTTCACATTTTGGTAATTTCAACCCTTTTTCTAGTGGAGTTCTTGCAGGTTTGCAATCCGCCATGTTAAACTTTTCCAAAACTCTCTTTATGTATCCGGATTGGTCAAGAGTAATTTTATTTTCACTACTAATTACTCTCATTCCAAGAATGTGCTGAACAGGGCCAAAATCTTTCACTTAAAAAGTGTTCATAAGATCATACTTTATCTTCTTTTTTAATATAGAGTTCTTTGGACAAAATAATAATACATCGTCTACATAGAGTGCCAATATTATCAATTCATTTTCAGTTCTCATGTAAAAGACACACGGTTCTGAAGAAATTCTTTTAAAATTCATTTTATGTAATAATACTTCATTTATTTTTTCATACCACATCTTGGAAGCTTGTTTTAAGCCGTATATGGCTTTATTCAATTTATATACCAAATGTTCAAATGTTCTTTACCTTTTTGAACGAAGCCTTCTGGTTGTTCCATATATACATTTTCTTTAAGATTTCCATTCAAAAATGCAGTCTTCACATCAAGATGGTCAATGTCTAAATCATATTCTGCAGCAATAGCGAGTAGAGTTCTAATGGTAGAGTGTCTTACCACCGGTGAGAATGTATCCTCGTAGTCGACTCCATATTTTTGTGAGTAACCTTTTGCAACTAATCGGGCTTTGTAGTTTAAAAGTTCACCGTTGAGACCTCTCTTCTTTTTAAAAACCCATCTGCACTTAATTGGTTTCTGGTTTCTCGGTTTCTCGATAAGAGTCCAACATTCATTATCATTAAAGGATTTTAACTCATCTAACATAGCCTTTTTCCACTCACCTGCTTCTGTGCTTGTCAAAGCATCATGTACTGTCTCTGGTTCATCATCATCACTGCATAACCTTTTTGATATCAGGACAGACATTGAAGCCACCTCAGTGTCTTCATATTCCGATGTTTCCGTTGACAGCTCTTCCAGCGTCGATTGACCTGGAACGTAAGTAGGATCCGCAGAACTATTTGACTCTACAGAGTCACTCTCTGAGTCATCTACTGTAATTGTGCTCAACCGTGTCTTTAATTGGTCATCAGAACTCTCTGGTCCTACAGTAGATGATTCAGACCGTATATGTTGCTGTGAGTGCTGGTCACTTTCCAGTTCTGATGGTTCTGTAAAATAATAAATAATAATAAATAAATATTTCCAACACTCACACCAATTAGCCTAGCCCCAAAATAAGCACTGTAAGGCTTGTGTTATGGGATGCTAGGGTAACGGATAGAATACAGATACTGTACATATATAAGTATATTTATATAGAAATACATATTAAACATCCATGACTGGAGTACAAATGCTCGTATTCATCACACAAACATCTGCCCCCACCGGGATTCGAACCCGGGACCTCTCGAGTCGGCGACACCATGAAACCCGGCGTATAAACCACTCGGCCACGGAGGTCGTCAACATGAACAACACTCACATGTTTCCTCAGATCACTTGGAGGAAACTCAAAGTTAATATCATCATGTGACCTATCATTGTGAAATCTATTTTCTAAGAAAATCACATCTCTAGCTTTGACACATTTGTATGATTTTTCAGGATCCAATAATCGAAAACCTTTTGTACCTTCACAGTACCCTACAAATATATATTGTTTAGATTTGGAATCTAGTTTGTTTCGATTCTGAGTAACAGCATAAGCAATACAGCCAAAAATATGTAAATGGCTAATATCTACCTTTCTATTAGTCCATTTTTCTTCTGGTACTCGTCCAATTAAAGCCTTTGTTGGTGATCGATTTTTGAGGTATACAGCAGTATTCACTGCTTCTGCCCAGAATTTGTTGTCCAATCCAGCATCTTTCAACATACATCTGGCTTTTTCAACAATGGTCCTGTTGGCTCTTTCTGCTACACCATTTTGCTGTGGGGAGTGAGAGTATGATATTTAATCCCATACTCTTTCAGGTAGGTCTGAAATTTAGAGTTAACATATTCACCACCATCACTACGAATAATTTTAATTTTGTGGTTAGTTTCATTTTCCACTAAGGCTTTAAAATTCGTAAAATGTTTAAAAACTTCATCTTTACTGTGCAAAAAATAAACAAATGTTTTTCTAGTAAAGTCATCTATAAATGTGAGAAAATATCTCGCACCACCAAGGGAGACAGTCGGCATCGGTCCACACAGATCTGTATGTACCAGTTCTAGCACTCGAGTTGCTCGTGTAAATGATTTCTTGGGAAAAGGAGCTCGAGTTTGTTTACCCTGGATACATGAAAGACATGGATTAAAAATAGTTGGATTATATTTAATGCCAGTAACCATACCTCTGTTCATTAGTGCCATGCTCCTGGAGTTCAAGTGGCCTAGTCGACGATACCACGTTTCCTGTAACTCCTCTGCTACTGTACCTTTCGATGAGCTTGATGAAGTAGTTTCACCACTAGGCTGAAATTTTTCTTTCATTACTGCACTGTAAGAAGCATAATTACTATTGCCTTCCCCCATACACAAAGGCTGATCAATGACATCGAGTTGATAGATACCATCCCTAAGTGTGGCAGTTGCCAAAATTTCCTCCTCGTCAGATATGATACATTTTTGTTTATTAAAAACTACTTTATAACCTTTCTTTACTAAAGAACTAACAGAAAGTAAATTTGCTGAAAGATTAGGCACATAATAAACATTTTTAATTATTCTCGTACAGTCTTTCAATTGAACACTAATGTTACCTTGTCCCGCTGTTGCTAATTTCTCACCATTTGCAACGCTGACTTGTGATGAGATTTCCACTTTAAAATCAGAAAAAAGTTCCTTGTTGTTGCACATATGATTCGACGCACCACTGTCCACGTACCATACGTCTCGCTGGATGCTCGCTGAGAGTGCCGTCAAGAGTGCCTTCGATGAATCCTTCCAAATCTTTTCTTTTTCTGACTTCTTGCTCTTTTCTGTCTTGCTGTTGCTGTTTGTCGGGCAATCCCTAATAAAGTGTCCCGTCTTCTTACATTTGTAGCATTTTGGTGCTTTCCTTGTCGTTGCAAAGGCCATCGTTTCTTCAGTCTTATTTCTGCGGTCATATTATTGCAATAATTTACCTTTTACTACATCACTAGATAACTTCAAGTTTGAATTTTCAAGAGCCATTATTAGTGGATCATAATTTGTTGGCAACCCGCTAAGCATGATAACAGCTAAAAATTCATCATCCAAAGGTGAATTTATATCATGTAATTGTTGTGACAATTCTTGAAGTTTCCCAAGGTAGCTCTCCATGCTGTCATGCTCTGCCAATTTCGTGTTGAATAACGTTCTCAACAGACCTAATCTTCGGCACAGCCCTTTGTCTTCATAGGCTTTGCTCAGGTTGTTCCACGCTTCACGTGCATCCTTTGCATTTCTTACATGAGGGAATGCACTCGTATGCACTGACAGGCATATCCTTGCTAGTGCCTTTTGCGATTTTTTCGTATCTTTTTTGTCACCTCGTGGCTCATCATCGATAGTGTCCCAAAGATCTTCATGAATTAATATCATTTTCATGCAGAACTTCCAAGTAGAGTAGTTTTCCATACCTCTGAGTTTCTCTATGCTTTGAAGTGGTGAAGTATTTCCAGCCATTTTCACTTTGCATGCGGCGAAGTGAGGTTATTACAATTTCTCAAATTATTTCGGCTCGATACTTGAAATAATTGCGTATTGAAGCAGATTTCTATTTCTGGGCCCATAACCTGATGGATTATGGCCAGAAATATGAACACCAGTCACGATTTAAGAATATATTTATTTTACTTTGAGGAGACACAGCTAGGCACAATTACGCAGCAAGACAAGAAGGAATGACATAAGTATGATTAGAGACCCAATACATTTCTGTTTACAAAGCTAGTTATAAGTTACATTAAAGACCTAAAACTGTGTATGGTATTGCGTTTACAAAGACAATTCTAAAATTATTTACCATTCTCTATGGAATGGAGGGTTATCACAATGACATCAAGAATATAGATAAATTTACCTAAACTGTAATTAAAATCAAAGGCGCATTTGAATACATAAAGTGTACCTACATCTCCGAATACTTTTGAAGGTCTTGAGACACAATGTAGGTTAAGCAGAGAGACGACAAGGCAATGGCCAAACAAATTTACACAATTCACAAATCCCCGTAACGTTTTCTTGAATCACCTAAAATAAACTTTGCATGAATGTGATTAACACCTCACCACCCAATGAAACTTCGAAACATTTATTGTCAATACTTTGACACGATATTTATAGCTCAAGATGTGTCTCCAGTGCATAGACGTACAGGATTCGTCCTGCAAACAACATATTCCTTCAGATTAGCTTTAAACAAAATCTAATATCGACAATGATGAAAATTGTGAGTCGAACATTAATCAAACATTTCAAATTCAATATTGAAGCATTTTTATTTCAAAAACAGAGTTTCTTAGTGGAATTGTATCAACAGTTCGTTTTGTTTGTGTATAATTATTTCAAGATCTCATGTTTTTTAAAGAATTCATTTTGAATATTTTTTGCTGTAGGTTTTATTCGCTCTCGCTACATTAGCACTGGTTTCTGCAGTACCAGAGGATGCAGCGCCTGCGCAGCCCGCAGTTCAAATCGTGAAACAAGACTCTGACGTTAACGTCGATGGCTACAACTTTGAGTGAGTACCTACCTATTCGAACTCTTTAACGGAATCAATAAACGGATATCTCAATTTTTTGGAATATTTTTAACGGAAGCTTATCATTCGCTATAATTGGCAAACAATATAATATTATAATTTTTATTTTTTTAAAGCATGTAACTGCTTGATGTTTAAATCTAAAGAAAATATAACTAGAAAAAAATCCACGCGGACCAGGCAGCAGACGGGACTCGAACCCGCACCCTTCGCAATCCGGGCGAATGCACTGACCAATTATGCTACCGCGACTCTCACGGACCGCGTCGAAATTCCTCTAGCCATTCTTAAGCTGCAAGGCAGCGCCATCTCTTCGCATTATAGGTAACCCACAATGACAAATGAATACTTTTACAAGTATTAAACATTTGAAAGAAGAAATAGTAATTAAAGTTATAATTTTTATTTTTTTAAAGCATGTAACTGCTTGATGTTTAAATCTAAAGAAAATATAACTAGAAAAAAATCCACGCGGACCAGGCAGCAGACGGGACTCGAACCCGCACCCTTCGCAATCCGGGCGAATGCACTGACCAATTATGCTACCGCGACCCTCACGGACCGCGTCGAAATTCCTCTAGCCATTCTAAAGCTGCAAGGCAGCGCCATCTCTTCGCATTATAGGTAACCCACAATGACAAATGAATACTTTTACAAGTATTAAACATTTGAAAGAAGAAATAGTAATTAAAGTTATAATTTTTATTTTTTTAAAGCATGTAACTGCTTGATGTTTAAATGTAAAGAAAATATAACTAGAAAAAAATCCACGCGGACCAGGCAGCAGACGGGACTCGAACCCGCACCCTTCGCAATCCGGGCGAATGCACTGACCAATTATGCTACCGCGACCCTCACGGACCGCGTCGAAATTCCTCTAGCCATTCTTAAGCTGCAAGGCAGCGCCATCTCTTCGCATTATAGGTAACCCACAATGACAAATGAATACTTTTACAAGTATTAAACATTTGAAAGAAGAAATAGTAATTAAAGTTATAATTTTTATTTTTTTAAAGCATGTAACTGCTTGATGTTTAAATCTAAAGAAAATATAACTAGAAAAAAATATAATATTTTCAGCCAATTTTGTAATGATGATGATGAGTCTTAGATTTGCTTAATTCAAATACGAAATAATTGTAAAAACATGTTTTTACACTCCTCATATTGAGGTTAACACTTTTTATCACTCTCCTAAATGATATTTACATAAAACATTATAACCATATGCTAACAACAACAACAATAACCTACAGCTAAGTAATGCTGAAATTTATTTAATTTCAAGAAAAATGTGCCTAACATTTAGAATTTTGACGTGACAACGTCTTAAACTAGGTTGCGGCTGGGAGTCACTTATGAAAAAGTGTAACGCTCGGTAACGTTACGATGAGTTTAAGTTTACATGTACAATGTTTTAGTAAACAAAATATATTTCTATAGTTAAAATTTGTGCAATTCTTATTTTCATTCAATTCCTTGTTCCTATTGTGCAATTTAATTATATTCATATCAATAAATATTCTACCGAGAAAAAGACGTTGTCACGTAAAATCTTCGCCCGTAAAACCGACTTTACAGGCAACCATTTTTTTTTCGACTAAAATTTTCTATGTGTATTGAAACAATCACAAATCACGATAATATTATTATTTTATTTAATATAATGTAACAACATTCATGTTTAAATGATAGATTTATTTCAATTGTATAAGTCTTTATTACACTAGTATTTTATTCGCACAATATTTCTTATTAAGCAGAGAAGCAAAAATAATCGTGATTGAGGATATCAGTTTAACATTAACTAAGCGGATATCTCTGTAGTGGTAGATATCGTGCACATGCATATTAATTATGTTATGATAAACACGATACAGGCTTTATTATTCACAACAACGTCATCTCTGAAGATGAGCTATTTAAAATCAAACCTGCTGTCCCAGCGAACTTCGTACCGCCATAAAAAAATAGGGGTTGGTGGTAGAAGGGTGAAAATTTAAGGTTGTATGTATTTTTGAATGGTGTATCATAAAAAAACAAAAAATTTTGTCCAAAAAATAATTAAGGGTGGACCTTAACATTTAGGGGGATGAAAAATAGACGTTGTCCGATTCTCAGACCTACTGAAAATGCATATACAATTTCACGAACATCGGTCGAGCCGTTTCGGAGTAGTTCAATTACGCACACCGTGACATGAGAATTTTATATATTAGATTAATAATAGCAGGTCAGTATCACGGTATGAACTTTATTTTACTTATATTTTTTAAGTGAAACTTTTTTAACTTCGCCACAATATTTGTCGTGCATCTTTAGTATGTCACATTACATTTTGAATTGTTATTAAAACAATTATCAACTGACATCGGTGGTTCAGTGATAGAAAGTTCGCTTTCTACGCGGGATTCATTTCCTGCAATATTTTTGATAATTAGAAAAAATAAATTACTTATTTATTGTGTAAGGTTTTCCTTACATTATTCACTAGATAACTTTATTAAAGCTGTATAATAATAGTTATTTATGCTACTGTTGCATAATGAGGGGTATTAAAACACGAATGTGGGTTTGTCGCATGAGTGGTTTTATATAGGTATAATTAATTAATTATAATTAATTAATTAATAAATTTATTAATTATAACAGATGCATATAAGATTTTATCCACACCCATGATATGAATCCTCTGTAAAAGATTCTGAAACCATGGGGCGTTCTAGGGCTTAAAATTCATGAATAGTCTCAGCGCTGTGTTAGTAAAACGCGCGTGAATGACAATGTTCCTTTTTTGAAATTCATAATTCCACGCATCTAGCAGTGAAAATTGTGGCTGTCTGATGAGCAAGCCCTTGGTGCGGGAGGGATTTAAAAAGCGAAAGAGTATGAATATGAAATATGTAAAAAAAAAACATTATAATACCCAAACGGGTGTTATAGTGGGTTTTTCTTTTAATTATGACATTGGATGTTTTAATGTTGAAACTTAGCTGTTTCAGAATCTTTAAAAGCGGTTTTAAAGGATGGGTGTCGATTAAGGAACTTAATTGCCGTAAGAGCGTCCTTTGTCACAGTGGCACTTTTAATAATTTTAGGCAATTTTCTACTCCAACGATTGGTCTAGCAGCTTAGAACATAAAATAATAGCCTCATATATTATCATAAACAAATATCAGATGTCAGACTGTAAATAAATTTGTATATTTTGCTTTCGACATTTGAAGTGTCTGGCAATAAGTACTGCTGACAGAATGTGTCTGACAGTATTAATTTCCAAATTCTTTACAATATTGTCAACAACATAGGCGAGGATCCAGAAGGAAGGAATGATACCTGAAAAAGGCCCACAGCACAATTTAGCGAGTATGTAAACGTGTTAATTGTACACACTAATACTACTCGATTATCCATATTTTGTCCGGCGGCCTTGGGATTTTCCTGTATAAGTATCAATAATGACAAATTTGACGTTTAATACATTATGAAAGAAAATATTATGACTTTTATGATTAAACCTTATTTAATTTAATTATATTTTATAACGAATACAGCATTAATAACTTCTGGCAGTCGAAATATAAGACGTAATTTGTTGTGTTTTGCCCAACTGATTGGTAAAGCTTAGTATAAACTGAAGCAAGCAAATCTTTTATTACTTTATGAAGTTCATAATTAAATTGGTTTATTATATATATTTACTTTCACGTAGGAACAAGTATTTTGATATTTCGAAGTCCATTTTCACTATAAATTTTATATAATGAATAACATTGGCTCATTGACTGACATATTTTGAATATCGGTGAATAAACTTTATTTGTTTGAAGTACCGAAATCCAAAAATAAAATATATTCATATACATTTCGTAAATATATTCATACACGCGGATCTTCCGCAATGTATATCTATTGAAATTAAAAATAACTACAAATTAACTTTCAGATTTGAGACAAGCGATGGAACTGTTCGACAAGAGCAGGGTGATTACAAAAACGACACTGACCAGCAGGGTCTCTTGGTGAAGGGTAGCTACAAGTACGTAGCCCCTGATGGACAGCAAATCCAGGTATTTTTTTTTATTAATGTAAAAAAAAAGTAAATAGTTTTGCTGGAAAACGTGATGTGGAGTGCTTGATGGCGTAGAGCAGGGATAGGCAAACTTTTTCCTTATCGTTCCAATATTTACTATCAGAATCTATGGAGGGTAAAATCTTGGTAACGAATTTGCCGGATTTCAACCATTCGGGGGTCAGAGATGGCCCGCAGGCGGTAGTTTGTTCATCCCTGGAGTAGGGAGACGGACCTCAAACCACCATGCAATTGGTCCAAATTATTCAGTAGTGTTTCCGTAATTGAGCAACAAACATACTAACTTTTACATTTAAATATCAGTAAGATATGATGATGGCCTTACAAAAATAACTGTTTCAAGATTTTTGCGGGATTGGAAATGAAAATAATTTTAATAGAATTGTAATTTAAAATTAATAAATCTATAAACGAACTTGTTAAAATTAGTAATAGTCAAGAAGGTTGAATATGGCAGAAATAAATAAAAATAATGGTTGTGACTATACAAACGTTACAACACTATTTAAGGGCCACCCCATTACGCAATCAGTCAAGCTTTTTTACTCATAAATAGTACTTAGTTAGTATTGTGTATATTGAATACACAGTGGGAATCTATCTAAAATCCTTACATGTGATGTAAGCGCAAAGATTATTATCTAATGGCCCGTACCATGGACTAATAATATACTCACACACGGTATTAGTCAAGGAAGTAAAAATCAATGCGTCCTACGAACGAGCCTTCGAGTTGTGAGTTTTGCAGTCTACTTGTTGATTTTTACTCACTCTAGAGTAAAACTCGCGAGTAATAGGTACCGTATGTGAGTACGGACCATTACTTAGGTTTAACCCCAGAGCCTAAATGCCTAGGACATCCAGTTTAACGCGTTTGCTTGATAGTTCTCATAGTGAATAACATAAAACCCAGATTTTATCTAAAATGTTAATGCGGTAAATGCCGATGCGTCTAGAGCGTTTTGTTGGGGATTGCGAAGGTCAGTCATAACATCGGCTCATCAAATAATACATGCGTTTCTCTCTGATGAGGCAGTTAATTTGATTCATCCTTTAGACATATGATTGTTGTTGTAATGTTAAAAGTGATTTATGGTCGTTCTTTAGATAAAATTTTTTGATTATCATCAATGATGAATTGTACGTACGGTCATGTCAAAAGCGTCTATAAAAATATCCAATTACTTACTAAACATCCTCATAAATGATTTTATCCAGAAGTATTTAATCAATTTATCGCTTTTTTATAAATAGTGATATTATTTTCCCCTTTTGATTGTTTGTTATTAAGTTCACATTACTGCATGGAAAACAAACAAGTGTTTCAAGACAATGGTAAAGTGCGACGAAAGATACAAATATCTTGCAATCTACTCTAAATGGATAAAGTTTCAAAACCTGGTATAACATGTTTCCTTGATGACCACCAAGCGCATCTCCCCCAGTCAAGGTTATTTGTTCTGCGTAGCTTACTTACTTTTATACGTATTAACGATGTAATAAGTATTTATAGTACGTCATCAGCTTAGTTGGGGGAATATTTAGACCAAGATTAATAACTGTGTTTTGTTTGATTCAGGTCACCTATGTAGCCGATAAGAACGGGTATCAGCCCACAGTAGACAACAGCAGCCAGCCTGGCCCACCACCTCAAGCATAAATTAACTTCACTTCGCTCAATCAAATTTGATTTTTAAGTACCCACTTGTAAACAATTTGTAATGTCTAGTCGCAAATTTTTCAACATTAAAATACATTTGAAAAATTACTCTTCTCTTTATAATTTTTTTATGTCCCTGTAGGTGAATATCCCAAGCGCATTTTTTGCATTTCCAAGCTGAGAATGCCAGTGTAAAGTGCATATCTTGTCATAAGATTTTTCCTAGCATGCTACAACTAAGTTGTAAGTTGGCAAAATGAACAGATTTTTACAAATATTAATACTTATTTTACTAAAAAGAAAAAAAGGTCTATTTAAGTACTTGGTGGTGTATCCTCAGCTTACTTTTTCAAATAAATGCACTCTCCTTGACTATGTTCTAAGGTTTTTTTAACCAAAAGTGCCTATTCATTTATAACTTAAGCAGTCAGAGTATAGGAGCTATGAACAAACTTCAAAAAATATGGACGAAGAGGAACATCACAGAAACCACGAAAACACGACTTGTCAGGGCATTAGTGTTTCTCATATTTCTCTAAGGTGCTGAGACGGGACCTTGCGAGAGCGTGAGAAAAAGAAGATAGACGCGAGGAAAATGTTTGGCAAACAGTGGAAACAATTCCGAACCAATTCATTAATCCTTCAGGAACTGTCAATCAAGCAACGTCTTTCTCCCATCGTACAAGGTCGTATTCTCACTTTTTTTGACCACATCTTACGCCGAGAAGATGCATCAGTGGCACGACTGGTGGTGCAGGGTCGAGAGCGTAAAGGCGCACGGTAGATCACCAATGCACTGGACCGATCAGATAAAAGCAGCACTGAACGGTCCACTTCACGAGTGCATGAGAAAGGCCGCAGTGCGGGAAAAATGGCGGCGTATTGTGTAGCGCGCCACCAACCCTGATGTGACGACCACGACCACTATGTCAAGAGTGTAGCGCCGAAGAAGTTGAAGTATCCTATTGTTAGGATTATTTTTATTGAAACATAAATGATTTGGCAACAAAGTTTGTTCAAGCAAAATGGTAAGCTTAGGTGATGAAATTTCAACGTGTCATAACTTATTTCCAGATGACGCGAGGTTACTAGAGTTTCTTTTTGGGAACGGGGACATTGCGGTGTTTGATATTAGATTTGTCTTGCTCATATTCATTTTAAGATTCTATTAAATAATATAGTGCATAGGTCCATTAACGACAACGAATAGAAGATTAATGAGATATTTGCCAGATTTTAACACCGAGTTTATCCAGACCAGATGTTTGAAGGTATCTTCTAGAACAGCAGTAAAATGCTGCTTCACTTCCCACTGCACCTGGATAGGTTTTGCATCAGGAGCCCAGAAAGTAACTGACATGATGTGGCGTTTTCGTATAAACCTATAAGTTAATAATATGTCACCTGTCGGATCAAAGTCACAGCAAGCTCCAAGTTATAATCAAAGACTTAATAAATCCTGAAAAGCTAAGTATAGTGGCTACATATACTCCTTCGCCTTCACATGGATTGTTATTGAAATGTAGTCTTCAGCAAATATGTTTAACGACATTTTAATCGATATTTATTCATATTAAAAATGATTATTTTAAGATTTGGTGAATTAGATTCATTAAGTTTTGGTGGTTTTGGTTCCAGCTTTGGTGTACAAATTACAGTTTTGGGGGCAGTGCAAATCTTTGGATGTCAGTTACTCGGTGGTTATTACTAAAATTCTCGGAGTAATAAGAACATATGCAATATAGGAGAATATAGCTCCCTTTCTTAGTATTTTAGCCTTGTTTGTTTTAAAAAGTGAAAAAATGCGGCACCAAATTTTACAAAAAAATATAGATACATGTTATAAATGAACGGAAAAATTAGTGGCGATGTAATAAAAGATACACTTGAATAATTAAAAATAAAGCTTCCTATATTTTACAGAAACCGTTTCATTTGTTCTGGGGTATTTTATATTTCTACGTATTTAGTATTGAAATATTTGTAGGCGTCAAAAATATTTGTTACAAAATAGATATTTGAATTACCCACCGGCGTCGTTTTATATATTTTGCTGTAAGTACAAATTTCTATTGTCAATTTTCTTCCACCGGTTCGTGTTACTGCTCAAACGATCAAAACTATAAGCTGCACGGCCATAAAATATTTATCATTTTGATCTTTTGTACCACATGAACTTAAAAGATTTACTCAACATTAACCGAACTTTTACGTTTCTTCTTCGGCTACGTTCTTAAAAAGTCTGTATTTATGAGTCTCGACAAAAAACTGCAAGATTTCGCTTACAGAAAAACTTAGAATCTCTTTGACCTTACCACAAAATGTTTGCATTTATTGAGTTAAAGAAGAAAACGTCATTCAAAATTTGCATAAAATTTTCCTTTTGATCTCAGACTATTTAAAGTGTCGTACCTTTATTCTTTGCCACGGTGGAGAGAGCTCATCGATCTCGACACAGAGAGGCTGCATCAAGGATCAGCATGTGGTCTGGCTCTATGTTGGATATTGCACTTCCTGATGGATGTAGACTCCAGGCCTACGCGGATGATGTCCTGCTGATTGCGTCAGCCACGGATCCAGTCGTCTTACAACACATCACCAATGAAGCCCTAGACACCATTGCCATTTGGGGTCAGGAGGTTTAACTTAATTTTGGACCAGAAAAAACCAAAACTTTGGCTTTCTCTCCGACGGCAGCCAGGGCCAACATTGCTATACTCGGCACCAACATTCCTTTTTGCTCGGAGATTACTATCCTGGGGGTTGTGTTAGATAGTCGCCTCCGATTCAACAAACACGTCGAACATATAATTTCCAAGGCACAAAGACTATTCACCCGCATGTGCCTTTTTACCAGGCCGCAGGCCATCATGGGGCCTGCACCCAGAAAATATAGCGGCCATTTACCATTATGTGATTGTGCCTACAGTGACCTATGCTGCTGGGATCTGGGGTCTACTTCTTAATAAAAATAAATTAGCATCTTTACCGCGCAGATTTGCCATACGCTCTATCAGGGCCTACCGCACTGTGTCAACAACTGCTTCTTTAGCTCTGGCTCAATTTCCACCCTTAGACCTCGAGGTTCTACGTATGCATGATATTGAACGGTGCAGCTTAACTTACGTCTCTCATTACCTGCCTGCCGATATACCCTGGGAGGCTCCTGTCCCGGCTGGCGAGCTATTATACCCTGCTTGCCGAGTCTCAATCAATTACTCAATCTATACTCATATTATAAAGAGGAAAAGTTTGTATGTAAGTATGTTTGTAACGAATAGGCTCAAAAAGTACTAGACCGATCTAATGAAAATATAACTAGAAAAAATTCCACGCGGACCAGGCAGCAGACGGGACTCGAACCCGCACCCTTCGCAATCCGGGCGAATGCACTGACCAATTATGCTACCGCGGCCCTCACGGACCGCGTCGAAATTCTTTCTAGCTATTCTTAAGCTGCAAGGCAGCGCCATCTCTTCGCATTATAGGTAAACCCACAATGTCAAATGAATACTTTTACAAGTATTAAACATTTGAAAGAAGAAATAGCAATTATAGTTATAATTTTTGTTATTTTTAAAGCATGTAACTGCTTGATGTTTAAATCTAATGAAAATATAACTAGAAAAAATTCCACGCGGACCAGGCAGCAGACGGGACTCGAACCCGCACCCTTCGCAATCCGGGCGAATGCACTGACCAATTATGCTACCGCGGCCCTCACGGACCGAGTCGAAATTCTTTCTAGCTATTCTTAAGCTGCAAGGCAGCGCCATCTCTTCGCATTATAGGTAAACCCACAATGTCAAATGAATACTTTTACAAGTATTAAACATTTGAAAGAAGAAATAGCAATTATAGTTATAATTTTTGTTATTTTTAAAGCATGTAACTGCTTGATGTTTAAATCTAATGAAAATATAACTAGAAAAAATTCCACGCGGACCAGGCAGCAGACGGGACTCGAACCCGCACCCTTCGCAATCCGGGCGAATGCACTGACCAATTATGCTACCGCGGCCCTCACGGACCGCGTCGAAATTCTTTCTAGCTATTCTTAAGCTGCTTAAGGGTGCGGGTTCGAGTCCCGTCTGCTGCCTGGTCCGCGTGGAATTTTTTCTAGTTATATTTTCATTAGATTTAAACATCAAGCAGTTACATGCTTTAAAAATAACAAAAATTATAACTATAATTGCTATTTCTTCTTTCAAATGTTTAATACTTGTAAAAGTATTCATTTGACATTGTGGGTTTACCTATAATGCGAAGAGATGGCGCTGCCTTGCAGCTTAAGAATAGCTAGAAAGAATTTCGACGCGGTCCGTGAGGGCCGCGGTAGCATATTGGTCAGTGCATTCGCCCGGATTGCGAAGGGTGCGGGTTCGAGTCCCGTCTGCTGCCTGGTCCGCGTGGAATTTTTTCTAGTTATATTTTCATTAGATTTAAACATCAAGCAGTTACATGCTTTAAAAATAACAAAAATTATAACTATAATTGCTATTTCTTCTTTCAAATGTTTAATACTTGTAAAAGTATTCATTTGACATTGTGGGTTTACCTATAATGCGAAGAGATGGCGCTGCCTTGCAGCTTAAGAATAGCTAGAAAGAATTTCGACGCGGTCCGTGAGGGCCGCGGTAGCATAATTGGTCAGTGCATTCGCCCGGATTGCGAAGGGTGCGGGTTCGAGTCCCGTCTGCTGCCTGGTCCGCGTGGAATTTTTTCTAGTTATATTTTCATTAGATTTAAACATCAAGCAGTTACATGCTTTAAAAATAACAAAAATTATTACTAGACCGATTTTAAAAATTCTTTCACCATTTGAATGCTACATTATCACGGATTAATATAGGCTATAGTGTATTTTCAAAAAAGTTAGGGTTCCGTATAAATACCTCGATAATGTAACCCAACGTATGTAAAAAATAGCCTTATATCGCGTACGCAGCGGAAGTCGTTGACAATAGAGCAAAGTGATGTAGGTACTAAAGTTTTATAGAGGATACCAAAAAGTCCGCGATACCATATGTCTAACTCTTACAGTTAATATGGACATAGGCTGTCGTAGACTTCTTTACTGAACTTTTAAAGTG